TTTAAATTTTCTGGGTCGCATTTGGGCAGGGGGCATGCCCTCAAAGTTTCATCCTCATAGCTTCGGTGGTTCCTGCGATAATAATTTTGCTCCGTCAAAACTCCTACGGGGCCGTACATGTTACCCGTGCGTACGGGGAAGCTAAATTTAAATTTGCGATGTCACACGTGGTTGAGGAATATTCCTATAAATTTCCAGCTTCCTAGCTTTTGTGGTTCCCGAGTTGAAACTTGCGGATGCTGTGGACACACACACACACACACACACACACACATACACACACAAACACACATACAGGCCCGTGACAATTTGCGTTTGTACTGCTCTTACACAGCACAAAACGCATAAAAATCAGATCACAAAACCCATCATTCTTTGACGTTTAGCACAAGACCCGAATCACGAGTTTTGCTAGCTGAGAACTGGACAAGCTACTACAGTTTCAGGCCTTAGCCAAAACGAGCAATTGCTAAAACTCAACCCGGATTACTTCAGCTTGGTCAAGGAAAGCGAATTGCAAGAAGGGTTTATTGGTTCTCAACCTTACTTGAGCACCTGCTTCATAATGGGGAATTTCCATACTGACGACAGGCTTTTATAGGACGATTTCCATTCGCATAGATTCAGTTTTCGTGCGTTTTGCGCTGTGTAACAGCAGCACAAAACGCTTATTGCCGCACGGTTGCGTGCGTGTGTGTATGTATGTGAATGTGTGTTTGTGTGTATGTGTGTGTGTGTGTGTGTGTGTGTGTGTGTGTGTGTGTCCATTTTGTTCCGCACGTTCAAGTCGGGAACCACAAAAGCTTGGCGGCTGAAATTACATTAGAGTGTTCCCCGCCCACGTGTAGACCTTCAAATTTAAATCCAGTCATCCTGTACCGACGGGTAACACGTGCGGCCCCGTGAAAGTTTTGGCAGGAAAATCATTATCCCGAGAAACATAAAAGTTAAGAAGCTAAAATTTAGCGAGAATGTTTCTTGCCCACGTGCGACCCGTAAACTCAAAATGAGCTTCCAGTTACGCCCCCATGAAAGTTTCGGCAGGAAAAACGATTATCTCGAAAGCCATAAAAGATAGGAAGCTAAAATTTGAGAAAATGCCCTTTGTTCAATACGACCTCGCAGAACCAAAATCACCTTTCGTGTCTTTTGTGCGGCCCCGCAAATGTTTTGATGGGGAAAATTATTGTCTCGGGGGCCTGAAGAGTTGTGAGGCTGAAATTTCCAGAGGATTTTTTCTGTTGTGCAGATACCTCACAACACAAATTTAGTTCCCAACTATGCCGAGATCTTACAACAACCACGTGAGAGTTTGATGCGAAATTCATCATCTCAGAAGTCGGGAAACTGGGGATTGAAGCTTGGAAGGATGCTCCCCACGGAAGGTTTCCAATTCAGATTTCACGTTTCGGCGCGTAAAACTTTTTGTAGAGGATTTCGTAACTTAGGAATCAGACAACATATCGACTACTTTTGCATGTACGAAAATGTAAAACAGTCAAATTTTTAGCAGGTAAACGTCCGCTGGACGAACTGCGCAAAACGCATGATTGCACCAGCCACGCTGGCGTACGTCACTATTTATCTTTTTTTGCTTTAAGCTACTTTTTTTTGACTTTTCTTTGATTCCTGCGCCCAAATTTCCTTTAATTTACCCTTTTTATGCATTTTGTGCTGTGTAATAGCAGTACAAAACGCATATTGTCACGGGGTTGTCTGTGTGTGTTTGTGTGTGTATGTATGTGTGTGTGTGTGTGTGTGTGTGTGTGCGTGTGTCCGCAGCAACTTGTCGGCAACTTTCGACTCGGGAACCACAAAAGCTAGGAAGCTGAAAATTTAGGGGAACGTTCCCCATCCACGTGTGACCC